ATCTCACGTACATTATAATGAGCTTTAACCAGTAAGAAAAGAAAACTTTTTTTCTAGTGAAACTATCATTATCCTTGAAAGAAATCCCATTTCTACCAAAACATTTATCATAAACGTTCCCCCTTTCTGGAAAAATTATGTTCTATGAGAGTTCAGTGTCTCTTCAAATAAAAGAATTTACACACCCTCATGTATCATGTATCTAAATGCATATACGGAAGATACATTTTTTCAACATAAAGTTAAAACTTCAGTTTCTATAATAGCTGCAGATCTGTAGCTCTCCGAAAAAAAAAAATTATTGATAGACCGGAGAGCTACAGTGCCACCCATTGAAAAAACTGTATATTTATTGCGCACAAAAAAGTGCGCTCGATTCTTAATTAATTCTTCCAAATCCTTACCTCAATGGCAAAAAATGGAAGATTGAAAAAAAATTCCTCTCTCCTCTATCAAGTTCTCTCGTAGTTGACATCTGAACGAAGCATATTGGACCAAATTATCTTTGAAACCAAAATAGCAGTATAAATAAGCGAAATGTTCGATGATTGCAATATCAGGGCCAGGAGGACTATTAACAACAATTATGAGGAATGTTTTGTTGTGGAAAGAGTCAAAGAATATGTTAGGAACACACAGTTAGTAATATTTTGAGATTACAATTTTAAAACATGGAGAAATAAATCGAGAACCGAGCGCATTTTTTTGTGCGCAATAAATATACAGTTTTTTCAATGGGTGGCTCTGTAGCTCTCCGGTCTATCAATATATACTTTTTCGGAGAGCTACAGATCTGCAGCTATTTCTATAAATGAACTAAAAACTGTTAAACGGTTTCCTGTAAAAAAAAAAAAAACGGTTTGTTTCAACATAAACGCCAATGTTCTCGAAAAGGTTAAAAATTTCACATCGCAATGAAAGGATGAAGATAACTAGCAGTGTTCACTAGAAAAAAAAAGAAATCTGCGAACAGGACAAAATCACGAAACTCGGAAATTTCAGGAACGGGATCATGTGGTTAAGAAGAGTGTGCATCCTCTGCTGTAGCTGCAGATCTGTAGCTCTCCGAAAAAGTATATATTGATAGACCGGAGAGCTACAGAGCCACCCATTGAAAAAACTGTATATTTATTGCGCACAAAAAAATGCGCTCGGTTCTCGATTTATTTCTCCATGTTTTCAAACGGTCATCTCAAAAATACTACTAACTGTGTGTTCCTAACATAACTCTTTCCACAACAAAACATTCCTCATAATTGTTGTTAATATGGCCCTGATATTGTCGAACATTTCGCTTATTTACGCTGCCATTTTGGTTTCAAAGATAATTCGGTCCAATATGCTTTGTTCAGATGTCAACTACGAGAGAACTTGATAGAGGAGAGAGTAATATTTTGAAATCTTTCTTTTTTGCAATTGGGGTAAGAATTTGTAAAAATTAAGAATCGAGCGCACTTTTTTGTGCGCAATAAATATACAGTTTTTTCAATGGGTGGCACTGTAGCTCTCCGGTCTATCAATAATTTTTTTTTTCGGAGAGCTACAGATCTGCAGCTACCTCTGCTGGGCAGTCAAACGCACTCAGAACCCTGCTTAATGATAAAGCAGACGTACATACTATTCTGTAGTCAGTTTAAGTTACATATGTACATATAACTTCAATTAATATGGAAGAAGTCGGCCAAAATTCTTCCCAATGATAGGATATATTTGCTAACAATCTCATTAAATCTACCACGGACTTTATGAAATTCTGACTTAAAATAAGGTTTGAAAATAGATGTTACAGGAATTTATCTGTGAGAAACCTGTCTCGATATAAAAAAAAGAAAAATTTATACTCAGAGCAGGCCTTTGAATAGGGAATAAGTTTGACCTAAAAGCACCATAAACAGGCGAAAGTTGAATATGACTATGACGATGGAAAGGTTGATACCATCTAGATTGTTAAAGAATTAAGGTGTCAATTGGACCTCCTATTTCTATAAAGTCAATAAACCTTAAAAGAAGATATTTGTGAGACTTCGAAGTGTCTTTTATTTTATTTTCATTTTGGTATGACAAGACGTCATAGGAATGAAAATAGGTATTGTTAATTGATAAAGCGTCGTTGATAGATCTACATACGGAAATTAAAAGACAGTGATCAAAATTTGCATACCCAAGTATCGAAAGTAGTTAATTTAAAGATTAATATATCTAATTTGGGAAAGAGTGCCGTAAATCAAGCATTGAAATTTAAGTTTATGCTGTGATGGTGTATTTAAAGATATAATTATATTCGTTAATTTGAGGGAGAAAAGGTATTTTGAAATTGTTGACGGATTTTTATGCTTTCTCGCCTTCGTTTCAAGAAGCACACGGTGGGTGTGACCGGTCGGCATGAGATACTCACTCATTTGTGGCAGATGATCCCACCTCTGGTGTTTTAGAGGTCCACAGTTGTTCTGATCCTTATTTGTATTGTTAAGGTGGGATTCTTCTCTGGTTTCTGAGTAGATGAAATATTTCATGTATATTTGCTTATATGTCTTATATATTTAGGTGAAAGAGGTTTAAAAGACCATATTTTTCTTTCCTCATCACAATTGTACAATTTTAAATAGAAATGGTAAACTGTGTTCGAAAACAAGCAGGGACTATAGTTTTGGCGGAATGGTGGCGTATGAAAATATCTTCTTTTCTGCCTCTCAAAATTATTTTAGAACAACGAATTTAGTTATAATTTTTACACAATCAAAAACTAGATGAAATTTTCGAATGTTAGCTAAATTAATAATAAGGAACTAAAGTTTTAAAATATATACAAACTACAATAATTATATTAGCTTTTAGAAGCTTCCAATCTAACTACAGATATGAGCCAAAAATCTGTAGAAAGTGTTTTTACTCTCTTACTCAGTCAAAACTTTTTGTTTTTGTATCATTTTGTATCTCTATATGACTACTTTGCCATACGTGAAAAGAAGGAAAATTTAAATATAGGGCGCATATAAAAATAAATTAAGAAATTTAAGAAAAATAGAGAAAAATCGGATTAGCCAAAATCCATTTTTGTTAAACTATTAGTGTCAATTTGGTAATATCATCTTACAGACCTTATATGGTTAGATCTTTTTATGCAAAAAGATAAACATTTAATCTTTTGAAATATATAGAAAATCCTATCTCATGATTGGATGAATGCAGTTATATTTTTTCTTAATGACCAGGGATAAGGTAATGACCTTGACCTAACCTTGACTCTAATATAAAACGGTCAAAATTAATCTAACTAATACTACCACTTAGTAATATTGTCTTCTTGATTCTGTGAAAAGTTCATTAATTTTTAAATACAAGAAATACAGTTTTGTGTGAGAAGAATCCTACCTTAAATAGACGTTTGAGCTATTCGTTATCTCCATGTGTTTCATAGAGTAGTGATATACGTCAATATTTGTATTTTTCAGTTTCGTAGTGGTGTAAGTTAATTTTTTTTTGGTTTAAATTCCTAGTTTGGGTAGTTTTGTAAGTCAATATTTGAAATTCAAAATTTGGGTACTGGTGTAAGCTCAGATTTGAATATTTGAGGTTGGGAAGTAATGGAAGTCAAGATTTTTTTCCTTTAGTATTGAATCTGTGGTGTCAGTCGAAATCGCCTTTTGTAGTTATGAAAGAGGTTTAAGACACGATGAGTTTTATTTTTAAGTCGAGTACCGTTGCAGGTTTAAATTTGTACTACTAATTAAGCGAGAAAGAGGTGGAATCAAGATATGTTTTTCTTTAAATTTAAAGTATGGCTCTAGGGTTTTTTTTTATTTCTAGGGAAAATGACTTGTCATAAGATACTTATATTTCGGTTTAATTTCTATCAGCAGTTTTTTTTATCAGTTCAATTGAAGATAACAGTGGAACTAATCCGAAATTACCCTTTTGAAAAAAACTGTTTTATTTTATTTAGAAATGTCGTGACATATGTGCCACTGATTTGGTTTTTCATCACAGTAAAATGTTTTTTTAATTATTAAAGACTATACGAAGATATTCTTGTCTTCCGATCTATTTTTATGTTCTATAGTCGGATCTTGGTTCGTCTAGTCTTTGCTCCTAGTGTCTATCGAGCTTCAGCAGAATGGTGTCAAGAATATCGTAGTTCCAGACCCACTTCTGGTATTTCTCCTGTACATGAAACTGTTCAGCGAAATGAATTCAAACACCGATCTTGAGATCGTCTTATATTAGTACGAATTCCTAGTACGCAATCTTGATTATAATCACGACCTTTGCTTTGCCACCACAAAACAGACTTTTTAATCGATACGTAAAATAAGTATACACACTGTACATAGAATTGGCTCAATGTTTGATGAAGAAAATAATGCTAATAATGAAGGTGATCTGTATTACAAAATCTCGAAATTAGGTGACATATTACTCCGTTTCTTTTATTTTGTCTGCATAATTGTTAGTTTTCTTCATCTTTTCATTCTTGCGGATGGGGTGGCTTAAACAATCTTGCTAGAAATGTTAATGAAGTCTAACATTTAATAAATGACAATCGTTGTCAGGAAAAACCCAGTTAATTATATTTGAAATAGTATTTTTTCATTAACTGCAAAAAAACCCAATAAAATGTGTTGCCATAAAAGGGATATTAATTCAATTGTCGACTTTTTCCTTTAAAAATATATCATGAATAGAGTAATATTGATTTGAACCTGTTGTACTAGTTTGAAAAAAATAAATGTTTGTCATTGCCATTGAACAAAAAGATATTTCTAAAAAAATGAATATTGTTCCTTTATTATTTCACTCATTGCCACAATGATCCTTAAAATGTGCATAAACATGTGAGAATGGGGAACTGTAGACCAACATTCAGCAGAAGAAAGTTAATTGAAAAACGATTCCAAAAAGGAATTGAAATTTCCACATTCAAGAAAAGAAACGCATATCGATTCTATATCCAGCAAATATGATTTTTTTCATAAATGTCTGGTATTTTTTTTTTGTTACAGATGACCACTGTTATGCGAAGACCCTCTGCAACATCAAACGATATACGTATAGGAAACCACAGATCATCCAGTTACGCCACCCCGGGGGATTCCCCTCCCTCCAGTCCCGCTCAGACAGGGAGTCGGTCTACCAGAGCCTGCTGCTTTTGTTGGTGCTGTTGTTGTACTTGCTCATGGTGAATGCATGACGTCACGACTTTTGCTTTTCACGTCATACTCTTTCGATTGATCTAGGTCAAACAAACCAACAAAATATTAAAAAGAAATTAAAATGGATATCTTTGCAAGGGGTATTTAGAAATAGTTGATAAAATCTTTTGAGTTTTTTTTGTAAACTTTATTTTTCATTGAATTATTTTTTTTCACTTTTGAGATTTAAGGTGAAGTAAGCAAAAATATCCATTTATGAAAATATTTTTATAATCCCGAGACACTCTCGTAAGAAAAAGGAAAAGAAAGAAAGCAACCAAACAGCGGAAAATCATATAATTTTTAAAAATTCAACGGTAAACGAGAATTGTGTTTGTTTGGCCAAGATATGCTACCATGAAATGTCATTCTCTGAAAAACAGTAATGCTGGGAGAAGGTATAGAAATGTCATTTAAATGGCGGGGAAAATATGAATGATATTTCATTTTGCAATGCACTGATAAAGAAATACTATAGCTAGCACGTAGATAATACATTTAGTCGTAATTATAGTGGTAATTATATAATTATCAATTCTTATGTTGCAGTTTAAAAGATCGTAAGAAAATTTATTTGGAAGTATAGTTATCAATATCAAATTCGATGACTACATTCTGCTTATAACGCCGTATTTCGAAAAAGAATAATGTTTTTCGAAAAAATCTTAGTACCTAACAATATACACATATAATGCTTCAAATACATTTTTTATCAACCAGCTTGATTAAATACAAATTCAAGGCTTTTTAAGGAATTTAAGCTATACCCTTAATGGTAGAAAAAATTCAGTTATAAGGTATAAATAAATAAGACACCATTATGTAATCTTCTTTGGAACATTTGGTATTTTTCATCGATCGTCTAGCGGTTCATAGAGTATAAATTGCTCCAGCTCAGATTATACAATAGTAATTGACATTGGGTAGCATTTGCATTCATTCCACAATGAACCAAAAATAAGACAACCTATTAAGAATATAAAGTTCATGGAGGGTAGAAAACATAAGTTAAACTTAGAAAAAGAACTATTAACGTTAAGGCATATTTTTGCCATCATCAAGGTCAAAGTTTTGGAAATAATTATAATTATATTCTCGAGGAACCTTTTTTGATGGTTACAATCATTCAATCAATCTAATACAGTTTCATATTTTTAATTAATATTACTAACCGTTTAATTAAATGAAAACCAATAGATTTTTTCACAATGTATAAAATTCTATTTTGAGACACTTGCAGATAGATGAGGTACCCAAACCAGTGTGACAATGCTTTTCTTAAGTTCTACCCTCTGATTAATGTCCCTTTGGAGAATTTCTCACACATCAAGATGCCACCACTTGCTGGTGGATGGTTGCAAATGAATTTTACTCGACAATCATGATCTTTGAGCAATGAGGGATATTTTTTTCGTACCAGCACCCGTTGCGACACTGGACCTTGATTTATATGGCTGATAGCTACAGAACTGTAGCTCTCTGCTTGAGAAAATTCGGACAGATAAAGCAGAGAGCTACAGATCCAAACGTTGTAAAAACCTTCGATTTACGCCGACGATTTTTTGTCGCTCACTATGGGTATTTTTTAGTGTATTTTATACTTTCCCCAGCTTTGAAAATCATTTTAAATGGTATTTAATAATTAATCATACATTCAACTTCAATTCCTTATCATTTACTTACCTCTCAACAGCTTACAAATGGCTGTTTGTGGTTACGGACGTCGAAATGGAACTCTTTTAAACAGACATTACAAAACTATATACAGGACTGTTTCGGACCGTTCAAAGGTAAACAAAGTATCAAATATAAGAGTTAAATATATGAATTATTATTGGATTCTATTCTAAAAGCCAGAGAAAACTTAAACGACATGAAATAAATACCCAAAGTAGCGACAAAAAATCGTCGGCGTAAATCGAAGGGTTTTACAACGTTTGGATCTGTAGCTCTCTGCTTTATCTGTCCGAATTTTCTTAAGCAGAGAGCTACAGTTCTGCAGCTATATGGCCGAAGGACCGACCTCCACGTCCAATTGCTGATTCCATTATAAATTAGATTAAAAATAAGATTCTTTATAATTAGAAGTATATTATTTGAAAGCTTTGATTCTGCGATGCGACAATCTTAATTTATTAAAATACTTAGTAGTTTTTTACTAAAAGGACAAAATGGATAAAATAAGTTGAATTTTGTCTTCAGAGCTTACAGAACAACAAGTTAACCTTTTTCTGGTACCACAACGTTCACCTTTCTCATTGATATTTAACATTTTACACAGCTAATCAAAACACCTAATAGCATGCTTACTATTAAGATTTTATTGAAAATATTGATTTTAAAAATACATTTTTCTCTAAAATCATTGATATGAGCTTGCGTTATATTCTTGATGTAATTTATGTAAGACGGGATTCTTCTCAAATTTATTGTATTTAACATATTAATGATATTTTAGAGGTACAAGAAGACAATATCACTAAGTGATGATTTCAATAAGATAAAATTTGACTGCTTTATTTGAGGAAGAAAGTTAGGTCAAGATCATATGCTTTTTCATTGACTTTAAGAATGCCTGTTTCTCTGTTTTTGCATAAAAAGATACCGGTATCTTCATATATGGTCTACAAGATGATAATTCACTGTGAAAATAAATAATTTAACTAATATAGAATTTTCTGTTTTCCTTAACGTTTAAGAAAGAGTAGTTACTTTTATGTGTATCGAATATTTTAATTTTTCTAAAGCTTTTTTCAAATGTGGTGAAGTAGTCCACTGTTATAAAAAAATATAGTCCCTGCTAGATTAAATTCCAATTGAGCCTTTCGTTTTTAAAAAGATTTTTAGCTCACCTGAGCTGAAAGCTCAAGTGAGCTTTTCTGATCAAATTTTGTCCGGCGTCCGTCTGTCTTTCCGTCTGTCTATCTGTAAACTTTTCACATTTTCGACTTCTTCTCAAGAACCGCTGGGCCAATTTCAACCAAACTTGCCACAAAGTATCCTTGGGTGAAGGGGATTCAAGTTTATTCAAATGAAGGGCCACGCCCTCATTCAATGGGAGATACTAGTAATTGGGAATTAATGAAAATTTGGTGGCATACTTTAAAAATCTTCTTCTCAAGAACCACTGTGCCAGGAAAGATGAAACTTATGGGGAAACATCTTCAGGTAGTGAAGATTTTCTCAAGAATGACAAAGCCATAATTCATCATATTTATATGGAAGACGTGCTCAGGTAGTGTAGTTTCAAGTTTGTTCAAATCATGACCCCCCAGGGTAGGGCGGGGCCAAAATGGCCGATCAAAATTTTACATAGAAATATATAGGAAAATTCTTTAAAAATCTTCTTCTCAAGAATGACAAAGCCATAATTCATCATATTTATATGGAAGCATGCTCAGGTAGAGTAGATTCAAGTTTGTTCAAATCATGACCCCGGGGGGTAGGGCGGGGCCAAAATGGCCGACCAAAGTTTTTGAAGATTATATTGGAAAATTCTTTAAAAATCATTTTCTAACAAATAGCAAATCCATGATTGGTCATGGGACTCTTTTGGATTTAAACTTTACAATAAAAAGCCTTTTCCCCAAATTTTTTTATCATTGGATTTTTTTTATCTTTAAATTTTTTGGGGTATAACATTTTTCCCTC